GACTAGTACCGCCCAGTGACTAGTACCGCCCAGTGACTAGCACTGCCCAGTGACTAGTACCGCCCAGTGACTAGCACTGCCCAGTGACTAGTACCGCCCAGTGACTAGCACTGCCCAATGACTAGTACCGCCCAGTGACTAGTACCGCCCAGTGACTAGTACCGCCCAGTGACTAGCACTGCCCAGTGACTAGTACCGCCCAGTGACTACCACCGCCCAGTGACTAGTACCGCCCAGTAACTACCACCGCCCAGTGACTAGTACCGCCCAGTAACTACCACCGCCCAGTGACTAGTACCGCCCAGTAACTACCACCGCCCAGTGACTAGTACCGCCCAGTAACTACCACCGCCCAGTGACTAGTACCGCCCAGTGACTAGCACTGCCCAGTGACTAGTACCGCCCAGTGACCAGCACCGCCCAGTGACGAGTACCGCCCAGTGACTAGTACCGCCCCGTGACTAGCGCTGCCCAGTGACTAGCACCGCCCAGTGACGAGTACCGCCCAGTGACGAGTACCGCCCAGTGACTAGCACCGCCCAGTGACTAGCACCGCCCAGTGACTAGCACCACCCAGTGACTAGTACCGCCCCGTGACTAGCGCTGCCCAGTGACTAGCACCGCCCAGTGACGAGTACCGCCCAGTGACGAGTACCGCCCAGTGACTAGCACCGCCCAGTGACTAGCACCGCCCAGTGACTAGCACCACCCAGTGACTAGTACCGCCCCGTGACTAGCGCTGCCCAGTGACTAGCACCGCCCCGTGACGAGTACCGCCCAGTGATGAGTACCGCCCCGTGACGAGTACGCCCCGTGACGAGTACCGCCCCGTGACGAGTTCCGCCCCGTGACGAGTACCGCCCAGTGACTAGTACCGCCCCATGATGAGTAATGCCCAGTGACTAGTACCGCCTCGTGACGAGTACCGCCCAGTGACGAGTACCGCCCCGTGACGAGTACCGCCCCGTGACGAGTACCGCCCCGTGACGAGTACCGCCCAGTGACGAGAACCGCCCAGTGACGAGTGCCGCCCAGTGACGAGTACCGCCCAGTGACGAGTGCCGCCCCATGGTGTGACGAGTACTGCCCAGTGACTAGTACCGCCCCGTGACGAGTACCGCCCAGTGACGAGTACCGCCCAGTGACGATTACAAACGTTTACTGTTTTTGCTGTTGCCTTCCTGCTATGTAAGCAGACACAAAGCATTGTGGGAAATYAGAACCRTGGCTCAAAGCAACAGTCAGCGAGGATGTATACCTTCTGTATAAGTGTGTTTATCTGTGAGAGGTGCTGTTTGATAGATGACTTGTGTTGTGATTCATTGACAGCCTTACCTTCCTCTGTTCATGATGATGAACATTAGCAGTACTGCATTTTAATTATAGAACACACAAATCTGCTTATGAATTATAAAAATTAGTAAGACCGCTAAAGCGCAAATGAAATATTTAGGTCCACAATTAGCGGATTTTGCGCTTTAGCGGACTGGTGCCCACCACTGCCCATCAGTGTTTATGCTCATTTCACAGCAGTTTCATGCAGCCTACCCAGACTGGGAAGGACGTGGCCCACTTGGTCCAGGTGGGCTACGTACTCATGAGGATCCAGCCCATGAATTGAGACACAGCCAACGTCATGGTCCATGAACTAAACCGGTCTACATGTAGTCCAGATCGTCTCCTGATAAAAACATTTGGTGCATCATGAAAGAAAGATCAGGACTGTTAGAAGACGTCCAACAAGAACAACATTCACTCAGCTGGTCCCCTAAGGGTTTTCAAGTCTTCTCAGGTCCTCTGAAACCTCCAGAACTGGTCTCCTCTGGTCCTAGATGTTCACAGACTTGTTAGAAGAACTTGGATCAACTCTTAAAATACTTCACTGACTTATTTTTTTGTAAACATGGTATTTGATCCTGTATGAACTAAACCTCTCCATTCAAAGTCTGTTGACAGTAGTTCTGAAGTGTAGTAAATAAGTGTTCTTTAACCATTTTATTATAAAAACTCATTTATTTTCCTTATTCAGACTAATTCCATGGATTACTTTCCTCCATCTCAATGTTCCATTCTCTCTGCAATGATGCCAAAAGRTTCCAATAACTCCAGGTGAACATCCATCCTTATCACTTCTCATCACACCTGAGCACCATTGCATCTGGATTAAATGGAAGTAGAGTCAGTGACATGTAGACCCCCCCACCCCACACACACACACACACACACACGCTTGTGCTGAGAAGTTGAAATAACACCAATAAAAAGTCTCTAACAGGTACTTTTCTTATGTTCTGTTGTGAATAAAGTGAGTTTATAAGTATTTTGTTTTAATTACTGGATTCTGTTGTTTACATTTCATCACAATGTCCAGATTTTTTTGTTTGTTTTTAGAATCTGAGTTAAATAAAAAATATATTTTACCTCAATTTTACACTCAGTAAAAATAAAATAAAATGAAACTTTAGGTTGTAAGGCAACAAAATGCAAAAGGAGGTGAAAACTTTTGCCGCCCCTTTTATTTAGTGGGAGGAGTCAGGGGCGGAGCTTCTCTTTCAGAGAACCATTAATGGGAGGAGTCGGGGGCGGGGCTTCATGTTCCAACATGCAAAAAAAACCCGTCAGAAACTCTGCAGAAATGATGAAAACTCAAGGTGCAATATCACATGAAGACAAACAGCAGTCAGTAAAATGCAACAGCATGCGTCTGCCTGCCTGACCTCCTGCTTTGCTACATCGAGAGGCAGTGCATCATCATCATCATCATCATCATCAGTCCACAGCAGGCTGGAAAACATAGAAAAATAATGACAACTTAAATACTTTAATTTTATTTTATTTTTTAGAAAAATAGGTCCAACTGCTTCCAGTTTCCAGTGTGGCAGAGCTGATTGAGACCTTTTATTAGTAGTTGAGTGCAGTCTCCATGCAGCAGCTCGTATCGGAGTTTATGTAGTTAGAAAGCTAAAGGCTATTTATTTCATCATCGTCATGCAGTTTTCCTCTAAAATGGTTGAATACATGTGTGCCTTGTGTTCTTGCATCGGACCGACGTGTTTTTATATAAAGGCTAGAGCGGGTGAGTAAAGCTAAGGCTGTTGAAGGCCGAGCTGCGTCCTCAACCTAAAACATCAAACTATTTTCTTTTATTAAATATTTTTTTTGGTCTTTTGTTTTCGGATTATATTTCCGTAGTTAGTAGTGTGAACTCAGGAAGCAGGACTTGTTGGTGAGAAAACGATGGAAGACCTAAAGCGTGCATCAGATTCATGATGAAGCTTTTTGTCCGGTGATCTCTTCGTCAAAGCTGTTTGGGGGCGGAGCTTCTCTTTAATTATCATGTAGTTTTTGGTAATAAAGTACCAAAACCATTGATTAAAGTTACAGTTTGTACCGCTGTTAAAATTAAACCATGTTGGAGTTTGTATCTGTTAGAGATGGACGATACCTTTGAGCCAGTTTTGAATAACTGACTTGTGAAGTAACTCATGAGCTCACCGGCTGCTCGCTGAGGACAGGCTTAGTTCCTTCATGTGCAGCCTCTAAAAGTCTCCAAACATATCAGAAAAGTTATCTAGAGTTGTTACTGGTCATCTTTAAGAAATTCCAGTCAAGTCTGAAAACTCTAGTTGCCCACATTAAACCAYGTTTGTTTCTGCTGGTGTGTTTGATGGTGCATTCATGGACCAAATAAATGTGTTGGATTTCTCAATACTGACCATTTCAGTCCAGGAAAAAAAAACTGGACTTTTAGAATTTGTTTGGGCCAWTCATGATGAAAACCAGCTGATGGGATCCTTTGGTGGATCTCTAGTATCTAATGGGTTTGTTGCACAGGTTCAGGTTTTATTGCTTTAGAGTGAAAAGTTTTCACAGAGCAGACGAATAGAGAGACTGATGAGTGGTCCGAGTGAGGCTAGGACCAACATGGGTCTCTGCCCATCAGGCTAACTGTGGCGCAGACAGTCGTCTAATGGTGCGTTCACACCGAACGCGATTTCAGCTTCAAAATCGCATCCAACGCTTCAAGTTGGACACTTGTGCACTTTGAGGTCAGACGCAGGTCAGCTCTCGAAGCGCTGCACGGCAACAGCCTCCCCGCCCCTCCCTCCTCTGTCGGGCTCTGTTTAATGTCGGACGAGGAAGTGGCTTTGCTTTATTTACAGAGAGCAAGAGCATGTCACGYTCATCAGATAATTAATTCATAATTAATTCACCAGATAATTCAGAGTAGAGGCTCACAGCTCGCTTTCAGGACTATTTTTGTCCCGAGTCCAGTCTGATGAGTCGCTGCCATGCATTGGTGCAGATATCTCTGTCAGGACACCGACTGCAGGCACGATTTCAGCTAAAGAGCTCCTCTCCATCTGTTTCAGGTTAGTGGACATCATTCAGTAAACTGTCCCGTCGGGAAATATGTCACTACGTCACACAGCGGAGTCTCTCTGATTGGTTGACGCGGCGCGTCGAGCTGCAAAAGTTCAGATTTTCTAACCAGCGATTTGCGCCTCAGCGCGTCGAACGCTCAGATCGTTCAAATCGTTCAAATCTCACTGCTCTAATCGCGCTTGAGGCGCCGCAGAACTTCCCAACGTTGCTTGAAGCGCGTCCACCATAGACTTTGTATGTAAACCTGATGCTCCTGATGCTGAAATCGCATTCGGTGTGAATGCACCATTAGCGGTTAGTGATTAGCTGTTAGCATTAGCTTCTGCTAATATTTATTTGTTTGCTTCCTCTTATTTTATTTTACATGTTGGTTGGTTTAACTTTAGCTGTTTAGTTAGTCGATTAGCATTAGCAAAGCTTTACATTTAGTGAGCAGATTATGAGTTAGCAAAGCTAACGTTTTGGTTAGCTGCATCCACTGTCAAGAAGTGATTTGCCAGGAAAAAGTTTAGAAAATTATTAATTTGAATAAAACATAACTAAAGAACAACTCATTTCCAAACAGCTTTGACTCAAATGTCTTTTATCAAGCTAAACTTGGTAACAAAGACATTTGTAAATCTACTAATCCTTAAAGTGAGTGTCTTTGACTGATGTGAGTTTTGTGAATGATGCCACAACAAAAGGACTGTTAAGAGCTGCTTGTTATCGATCCAGACGTGTTTCTGGAAATCCTCTGGAAAAGAACCATGAAGTATCCTGAGACCCTGTGTGTTTCCTGCACCGGCCCCTCATTATTGCTCTCAAAAGTCCGACGAACGCAGTGTGCWATGGGATGTCCAGCAGCCTCTTACTTTAGTTTCTTTAAAAATCTGTGTGGTGGCAGTGTGGTGGACGGTAGGCACGCTAAATATACAGACGGATCTCCTTGTGTACAAAAACAAAGTAAAGGATCGATTGAAGTACAGAAATGCCTCAGGAGAGAGTTTTTCAAGTAGCTTTGTTCCCCATTAGGAGGCGGGATTTGTAGAAAATGAGACTGAGCTACGGTTGTCGGTGAGCATGCCAGTCACACCTGAATGCCTCGTGAGTTGCAGCAACGTGTGCGGAAACATGCGACGGAAAAGAAAAAAGATGGGAACAAAAAAAATCATGCATATCTAGAAAGAGCACGTCGGGTGCTTGGTTGTTGCTGGCAGTGTTCTATCAGAACTATGTACACGATAGATGACCGCTTTACACGTAGTTGATAATTTAGAGTATAAATACTTCGGTATAAATGGATTTTTGTACATCTAAATCAGAGCTTTTGGGAGAGTCGGGGCTGAGAAAACCTCTCGAAAGGAATGGAAGAAAAAATCTACAGTTTTTTTTTAATCCTTTGCATATTCAGTCTCTTTCTTAGACCCTGAGTCAAACTTAAGAGAAGACCTTCAGTCACGGTAGAAAGGTTGGGGGGTGGGGGGCAGGGCCTACTGTCCTGGAAGCCCCGGGTCAGACACTGGCCTGTGGAGCCCCAACGGTCCTGAGCTGTTGGGGACGTCGGGTAGAGAAGCTTGTCTACCTGAATGGAACCTAAGCGCTTGTTGTTGCTCAGGTACATCGTCGCTGAGTAGCGTTTGTCTCTGATCGGCGTCAGACTCGCTGTCGAGCCGAAAGTTCCCATCTGGAAGAGTCTGTGTGTGCAGGAACGCTGGAGGGGGGTCTTTGGATTTGATAGGAGAGGTCTCCGAGTCCAGGCTCTGTGGGCCAAACAGATCAAACCAAAACAAAATGAGTCCACTAGTTAGGACTTACAAACAGTGGTGGGCACGGCTAAACAAAACATTAGCACCATTAGGTAAAATACGCAAACTAATAAAAAATAGCTTTTGCAATACTAAATTTGCAAAAAAGAAAACAAACAAGCTAATGCTACACAGCCAAATGCGTAAAAAATTAACAGAAGCTAACGCTAAACAGCCAAACACGTAATAATTTAACAAAAGTTAATGCTGAACAGTCAAACACGTAAAAAAACAGAAGCTAACGCTAAACAGCCAAACACGTAAAACTTTTTTTTTACAAAAGCTAATGTTAAACAACCAAACACGTAAAAAAAAATTAACAAACGCTAACATTAAACAGCCAAACAAGTAAAAAATCAAGAAAATCTAACGTTAAACAGCCAAACACGTAAAACTTTTTTTTACAAAAGCTAACGTTAAACAACCAAACACGTAAAAAAATTAACAAAAGCTAAAGTTAAACAGTCAAACACATAAAAAATATTAACAAAAGCTAACGTTAAACAGCCAAACACGTAAAAAATTGACAAAAGCTAACGTTAAACAACCAAACACGTAAAAATATTAACAAAAGCTAACGTTAAACAGCCAAACATGTAAAAAATTAACAAAAGCTAATGTTAAACAGCCAAACACCTAAAAATTAACAAAAGCTAACATTAAACAGCCAAACACCTAAAAATTAACAAAAGCTAACGTTAAACAACCAAACACGTAAAAATATTAACAAAAGCTAACATTAAACAGCCAAACACGTAAAAAATTAACAAAAGCTAACGTTAAACAGCCAAACACCTAAAAATTAACAAAAGCTAACGTTAAACAGACAAACATGTAAAATTTTAAAAAGCTAACATTAAACAGACAAACATGTAAAATTTTAAAAAGCTAACATTAAACAGCCAAACAT